GTGCGCAATGTACATGTATGCATGATTACACATGTACGCGCATTTATAAGTAATTTATTATATATATAGTATATGTTATGTATATATTATATATATAATGTATTATATTATTATATATACAACATATGTTATAAATTATTATATATATATACGTGTTTATATATGTGTAATGTATTATATATCTGTATGTGCGTGTATCGTCGTCGTTGTCGTAGCGCGTATTACATAGTAATATGTACTAATATATATATATATATATATATAATATAATATACATACATATATCTATATATGTATGCATGCATGTATGTATGTATAGGTACATGAGCACGAAATCACTCCGCGAGTTTATCGTCGTAGCGTGTCGTGGACAGCGCCCCCTATCTCTATCTGTCGCCATCTCGTCTCGCGTCGCCATCCCGCGTTAGCCGGTCGTAGAGCGACCTCTAGTGGCGCAGTCGCTGCTGCGTCGCGCTTGTATGGGAGGGCGCCACCGCTGGCCGCCGGAAGCTGGCGATTAATCGCGGCTTTGGTCTCTCGGCGATCAGAATTCAGTCGGAGGCGAGGTGTCACCTCCTCGCGTAGTCTAATGCATTATAGCTGTCCTCCTTACGATGATTACAACCCCTGTGTCCCGCATGTGTCTGATGTCCGCTTCGTGCAATCTCTGCATGCTCCCCACCGCCACCTACCGGCAGCGTGTTGTGAGCACCCCCCCCCTAGCAGCGGTGCATCGCCAGCGCCCCCTACTGTCAGCGCGTCGCCAGCTCCCCCTCCCGGCGCCAGGTCGTGCTACGCTAACGACAGTGGTTGCAACTCGTGTGTGCGTGTGTGTCTGACCTCCCCGTCGTGTGCTGTGTCCGCACACCCCCTACAGGCTGTGTGTAATGAGCGCCCGCTACCTGTGCCACGTCAAGCTGTGCTAACGACAATGGTAGCAAGATCGCGGGCCGCCGCGCCACCACGCGCGCGATGGAGACGTCGCGCCGCATTTCTGCCCGACGTTCCGACGCCGCGCTATTTTCGACGATGTCCGCGATCGCAGCTTTGCGACGAATCGCTCGCAGGATTTTTTTTTTGCGTGGAGGGGCGAGAAATTTTAGTGCAGGATTTTCGGGGCGAAACGCCTGGGAATCGTTTCCGCGTCGCACACGCACAACATCGACCTAACGAGATTGGGCCATTTTGCGTAGATGCGAAATAGAACTGCTCTTAGGAAGGCGCGCGGTTCTATCTCGCTGAAGCCGCTATACAACCGCGCCGCGGTGAAAAACCGCTGCGGCGGAGTTTTTTGATTGGGAACGCTATATTTAAACACGGAGAGATTATTGCGTAATGAATAAGCCACGGCTCTTATATCTAAGTCTCGCGTCGGAAACTTTGTACTTGTTTAAAAACGCTGTCAAGTCTGAGAGTAGATGACCTCGTCTTTAATAGTTAATAAATTGCATTATGTTACATTACGCTAGCGATTAATTGCAGTAAGTGATTGATGTACACGTGAGGTAATAAATGCTGACAACATAAATCAGGAGGAAGAAATGGCATGAAGCAATATGAATTTCAAATTGAGAGAATGGCGTTTTATGATTTAGAGGTGCAGTTTGTTTTATATATTAAAAAAGAAGACCAATATATAATTGCAAATTCCTTCAAGGGATGCTAATATAAGTTCACATAGCTAGAAGCAACGCAACAAGCATAGAGGTATGTCGATGTAACCATGGCGACAGTGTTACTGAAACCATAGCGACAGTGTCACTGTAACCATGGCGACTGTGTGTAACCATGGGGACAGTGTCACTGTAACTATGATGACAGTGTCACTGTAACCATGGTGACAGTATCACTATAACCATGGCGACTGTCACTGTAACCGTGGCGACGGTGTCACTGTAACCATGGCGACGATGTCACTGTAACCATAGCGACAGTGTCACTACACGATGTAAGAAATGTTGGTGGCGTTACAGATTTTACACCCATGACGAGAAGACACAATAAAGCTTGTGCAAAAAGCTACACAGATGTTAAGCAATGTGGACCAGTAATGGCGCGTGGCACCCTTTCAATTAGAGAATTGGCTGGTATGGCAGCACCTGTTGCAGCATGCATGGAAGAGGCGAATTTATCTCCACGGAAGCCACCACACGGAAATATGCTAATCCTACTTATGAAGCTCTATGATTCGTAAGATAACATTTCTTAATCCTCCTGCTCCTGCCGCTCCTTCTCCCCGTCTTAATTACACTACTCCTCATCATCTTTCTCCTCATCACCGTCATCACCATCCTCCTCCTCCTCCTCCTCCTCCTCCTCCTCCCCCTTCTCATCCTTCTCCTTTTCTTCTCGTCTTCTTCGTCGCCTTTATTGTTTCTTTTATCGTTGGGGCTTCTCCCAAGAATGAGACAGAACGGTTAGTGCTCAACCCTTGTGAATGTATATATGAACTAGAGCACTCGGAGAGCACAGACCTCTGCCAAGGCAGCTGAATTGTCTCGCTGTGAAATTTTTTATTAATTAATTAATTAATTAAGTGAAAATTTTATTAATTAATTAAATAAATAATTAATTGGATCGGGATGACCACCAAAATGTAATAAATTC